AAGGATGGAGGGCGGGGGGGGGAGGCGGGCGCAGGGGAGAAGGATGGGATTGTGATGGTTGTGTTGCGATATTGCCCCTGGGTGACACCAGGGAGCAATCCCTGCATTATACAGAGCTTATGGGGCAGTAAACCCACAGTTGCATACAGAAGGCCAAACTGCCCCAGAAAAACAGACTTGAACCCAGAGAACTCAGATGCCTGGCTCCCACCCCTGTGCATCAGTTCTGCTGCATCCCTCAATAAACTGTGTGCACACAAACAAAAATTTGTGCACGGTTTTTGGGTGAGCAGGCATGCAACTTCTGGAGTTGAGCATGAGAAAACACTTGATGACCAAAGCATGTGTTTTTAATACCTAAAATAATACATCTAAAATGCACTTGGAAAGCTTGGTCCGACCAGGTTCATTTTTATGGTTGTAACTACATCATATTGTATGGTTAAATGCCTTGTTATTTCTATGCGACATTACCTTTGGAACAATGCACAAAAACAAGGGCTGTACAGAAGACCTGACTACTTTTTTTTTCTTTTCTCTTTTTTTTTTTTTTTTAAATATCGTCTCCCTCCTTTTACTTCTTTAGCTGCCTTCTCCTATCAAATGGCACCGCCTATTGCAAGTGTGCAGCTGGGTTCGAGGGGAACGGGACGTTCTGCACAGGCAAGTGGAGTTTGTTTCTTCCTTTTTGAAAAGAAACGTGCTTGAAGCACGTTTAGCACGCTGTGGTCACGGTGGAGCTGGTGAGAGATGAGCACTTCCCTATGCACCAGTTAAAAAACAGGAATTGCTGCCAGTTTGTTCAAAACAAAAAAAGAGTCCAACAGGTGCAGCTTCATAGCAGACAAAGGGCTCAAAATCTCCAAGTTGCAAGGCATTGTGCTAAGGGAGACCAGAGAAAAGGGAACACGCCATGCTCCCTTTGCAGAGTAATTGTTCACAGAGTAATGAAACCTGGATTATGACTTCTACTCCTTTTCCCAACAAAGCCCGGCAAAGAGAGGCCAATTCAGGATACAATAGCACTTCCAGCTATTGGAAGCTGTATAGCCCTACCATTTCCTCAGCTTTCTGAACTTGCACAGGTTTCTAGGGTGGTAAAATCAACTTCTTTAGACCAGAGGGATCTGAGAGACCCTCAGAAAGGAGCAACAGTAGCTTATCCTAGGTGTCCCTCCAAGAGTCTGGGATATCCAGACTTACAAAATAGACTGCTTCCAGCTACAGTGATTGTAATTAATTTTACAGTTGTTTTACTTAATCTTTGACTGATTAAAATACTAATTCTCTTGGGAACAGAGGCATATTTGTCTACTTACAATGGCTGGCAGGATCCTAATCCAAGATTTTAGCACTCTTACTCTGGCTACTTTCATTTTCTCTTCTGGCACAAATCAACCAAATCCATTTTAATCTGCTGGTGGGAAATTCCCCATGCCCAGGAAGAGCTGGGTGACACAGGTCACCCATAGTGGCTCTGCACTCACCCTTATTCCCCTATACAGGATTCCCAGGCAAAACCAGTTATAAGACATCTCCCCAGTCTGGCTGTTAACAGCTGCAGAAACATTAATTTGGGGTCATTTGAGGCAAAAACTAAAGCAACGTTTGGGCTGATTTGATTCACACTGAAGATCAGAAAAGGCTCCCTCCCTGCTCTCGGGGTAACCCAAGCAAGGTCAGTTTGCCAGCCTCCGACTCATCCAGAGTTGCAGAGATGGCACAAGTATCCATCTGAATAACAACCCAGGACTTTTTGTCGCAGCAGGGGCCTGAGTGGTATTACACTCTAGACCTCCTGCGAGAGAAGGCCGTTTGACCTGTGTGCAGAAAAAGGCAAGCTAAGGGAAAGCTTCAAATGGCCATTTAATCTAGAAAAGAACGTGAGGGTCCCTTTTTTGGGGCTTGGTTGGAACGGGTAGAATCAGAAGATGGGAAGTTACTGAAAGTCAGTCCTGGATGAATTCTTATCTTCTAGACTGCAGGCATCTTCTCAGCTTTCTCTCTTGTAATCGGTAAGGTGTATTAAATACCTGGCACTAATGAAGTCTATGGCCTCTTAAATCAGAAAGGTTGTGTGTTCAGAAACTGTTAGCAAATCCCTTTAAAAGATAGAGACAGCTTAACCTGAAAAGCAAAAAGCCGTTTAAGCACATTGTTTAAGCACATTTAAGCACAATCTGGGTTGTTGTCACTGTTCAGCTATTGATGCTTGCGAGACCAGCAACGGTGGCTGTTCTGCCAAAGCAGAGTGCAGAAGAACAACGCCTGGCAATAGAGCATGCATCTGCAACGCTGGGTACACTGGAGATGGAATAGTCTGCATTGGTAAGCATTCGCAACGTCTCATATACCACAAGAAGGAAAATTACAGGAGTGAGTTTTCCTGTAGATGGAAGATCCTTCTTCCACTATCACCCAGAAGTGCAGTTTCCTGATACTATAGACCCTGATGCCAAAGGCATCTCTACGTGCCACGTGGTTGATACTACTTGGCAAACCATGCAACTACAACAGTGTGATGTGACACAAAAGCTTATTAAAAAAGAACTACCTCTCAACAAGGATAGCAGCTTGATGCACTCACACTCCTCCGACCACTGCAAACGTAAGGACTTTTAGATGCTGTTGTACCATACCTCCCCAGATACGGTTTTAGAAACGCTGACAGCAGGGTTTTAGCCTTCACCAAGATAACTGCAAGACCTAGACTGAGGTATTAAGTAGCTAAGGGAATGAGTTTCATTGATTCACAGTTGTCATAAATGTGTATTCCTAGTACGCTTTACTTAAAATTCTCCCTTCTTGGTTTTTCAGAAGTGACTCTTTTTTCTTTTTTTACTATACTTTTTCTCTTTTATAAAGAAATCAACCCTTGCCTGGAGAACAACGGTGGATGCGATAGAAATGCAGAATGCACTCAGACTGGACCCAATCAAGTGAGTACTTTGCCAGTGCAGAAAAATAAGACTGGCCAACTGTTTACATTTCCCCATCTTAGCTTTGTTTTTAAATGGAAAAGTGGATTTCATAACAAAAATTCTGAAAAGTATATACTACCCTCAAAAAGGTATTTGAGGGGGAGTGTTGACAAACATGAAAAAATCAATTTCAGTAAAAGAAATCCAAAACTGCAGAGGAAAGCAGTGTTTTGCTGTTTCAAGTGGTTGTTTTTCTCCTTTGGGAGGTTTTGATGCGAAAACCTGTCAGTTTGAAAGTATTGCCAGATAATGTTTCTTTTATTGTTATAGAAACCGTCCATGGAAAAAAAATCCGTTTCAGACTAGCCCTTCTCCCAGCATAGCTCAAACGTATTCACAAGGAAGCAAAATGGGCTGAATCATAGTTCTCATATAGTGGTTACAGCATACCAGCCTCCACTCACTCCTCTGCTGTTCTGCGTCTCCCATGCAGAAGCACCACATACTCCCCAAAGAAAAAGAAGCATAAAACAACAGGGGGGTAAAGGAGAAACAAATTGGCCCAGGCAATCCAGTGACATAAATTAGAGTTTCTGTTTTCATAGCTGATTCAGAGGAAGCTGAACGCCCTGATTACAGCACTTCATATCATCCCCCTGTAGTTTCATATTGGCTATCGGCAGGACTGTAAACCTCCAAGCGAGCACTGCACAAGAGTATTTCTTCACAAGCAATGCAGGAGACAGCGACCAGGAGTCAGAGGCCACCTCCTGCTTTCCAGTTGTCCAGGGACAGGAGGGTCAATAACCCCATCAGCCCTCTTTGCCAGTACCGATCAATTAACTCCTTGCCTTGACTGTCATTTGCAAGTCAGTACGTTTCTGGTGGGAGCACAGAGCCACTTAACTCCTTCCCCATCCCTCTAGACAAGACAGGTGATGGCTATTTTCTTCCATACACCCTCACTGGGGATAAAAGTAGTAGCTACAACATGATTACTTATACTTCCTTACCAATGGGAATATCGTTAACATCGGAGCAATAACCTCCACTACAAAATCCCATTGCAGCAGAGCCGAACTTATAGGACGGAAATGAGTCTGCTTTCTGTAGGGCTTTCAGTCATACAGATACATGAAACACTGCTATTACACTGCCTACCAGTTTTATTTCTGCTGCAGAAGTCTCCTTGAATTTTCAATCTCCTACATATTAAATCTGAATTGAGAACCATTAAGCAGTGAATTGAGAGGAAGATAAGTCATTTCTTTGCAGCCATGTTTATTTTTCATCTTTGCGATAGCGGCAAAACAGAGTGATTGCGACATGTCAGACGCATTACTGCTGCACAGGAAGCTGTCAGGAACATCAGGACATAATTCCAAGTCTGTTCTGAAGATATGTTTCATCACTTAAAAAAAACAGGGGAAGGGAAGAGAAGAGAGGGGAATACCAACGTATGCAAATAAAATGAGGGAAACAAATTAGTGGTTTAGCCTGTTTTGCCAGCAAGATGGCTGTGTGCAGGTGTCAGAGAGGTCATTTCAAATGACCAGGACAGCAGAGGAGAGATGAGAGATGGATAGTCAGAGAAAGGGCAGATAGAGCCTCTTGGAAATTGTTATTTCCCAGTCTCAGCCTATGGTTGCTCATGCTGGCTAAGAAACTGCTGCAGGAGAGATGATGTAGACCATATCACTATGAAATAATCTGGCAAAAAAGTAAATTAAATGTTAGTGTGCTGAAAAAAGTCAAACATCTTTCCTTGTATGCATGTTTTCTGATTTTCCTTTGTAGGCAGCATGTAATTGCTTGAAGGGATACTCCGGAGATGGTAAAAGATGCACATATATCAGTTTGTGTTCACAAGTAAGTATCCATTTAAGGAGAGTATTTAAGGTTTTGTTATAATCATTACACTTTTGGGTTTTGTATGCATTCAGAACTAAGTCAGATGGGTAGATCTGGGACCTTCTATGCCCAGAATCCACTTCTGTTAACTTAACTAATTTTTAAACGTGCTTAGTTCAGTACATGCTTTAGTGCTGTCACTGTTTTAGAAACTATACATGCAGTAAGGGCTTTTCCTGGACCCCAGCCTGCACACAATACAAGTGAGGGCCCGGACTCATCACTGAGTCTTAAAAAAAAAAAAAAAAAAACTACTTCAGATCTAGAGAAACAGACCCTAGTCTGTAGCGGTAAAGTGCAAATCATGTCTTCTCAGCAGATTTTTTTGTCATTGCTAGAATTCATATGAAAAACTACCATCTAAATTTGTGTTTGGGACCCAGAGGGCTTGCCAATATTTCAGTTACTATGGGAAAAAAAATGCAGCTTCTGCGCAAGACAATCAAAGAGCTTTGTTCAAATGATAAAAGAGAGAAGTGTGATCTATTGCATGTTACTGTAATGGTAAAAAAAGAAATAAAAAAAATCAAAGGTTCAGGTTGTTGATGCTCAGGGGCCAGTTCTAGCTGTTCTAGGAGCCAGGTGATTGGGAACCAAAGAGAATAGCCTACGGTAGATCAAAATCCCTATTTATTTTTAATATTCTCCTGTCATTAAGTCCTCTGGTATGATTTGGGACCATATCTGTGCAGCATGAACAAGAGAAACTGTCAAGTGTCAGCATACACGTCCCCTTCTCAATCTGAGATTTTTATAGCCAAATCAGAGTATCAAGTCCTCACATTGCTGGGTCATTACCAGGGAAATCCATGTTGGGGCAATCCAGGCTCAGGGGCCTGGGCATGCCTGAGCTCCCTGGAGTAGGTGTTTCCAGCAGAGGTCCCAGCCTGCAGGCTCACCTAGGGCAGAGCTCCCACGGAGCAGTCAAAGAACAGAGCCCCGCAGCCCCTACAGCCACGCATAGGCTGCATCCCAAATGCATCCCTGTGGATGCATCGTACAGGATAGCAACACTGCAAGCTGCAGCAGAGGCCCGTTAGTGAATAGTGAAACAGGAGATGGGGTGGGAGGATGGAAACCTCTTGTGATGGGGAGGTTAAAAGAAAAAAAAAAAGCAAAAAAAAAAAGCATTCTCCTCAGAAACCATTTCCCTCCTTTCCCTTCACAACACACAATGCAGAGCTTCCCATGGCATTCCTCATTCTGTCCCTCACTTATCACTGCAGGCTGAGAATTACCCACTTTGATTCACACGAGCTAGCTCACACACTGCAAGCCACGTATTTGCAAGGAACGTGGTGCTCTGCACAACCACATTGCTCTCCTTCTTGGCAAGCTGCAGCAGGGACATATCCACTCCCCCGTGCACGTTAATCCTTTGTGCTCCAAGCGCAGTGACAATAATTCTCACCCTCCCAGCCTGGCCTGTCAGCAGAGTTTCTCTAACCTTGAAAGGTTGCAGAGATGAAACAGCAAGGGCAAAACCAGAAGCTGGAGGAAGGGGAGCTCAAAGTTATGAGCTGCTTCTTCCTATGATTTTGTATGCTTTTGCTTTTTCCTATGCCTTGTTCCTGCAAATCTGCTTCCACTTGACTAATTATGCCAGGCTAATTATATATAACAAAAGATAGTCTTGAGAAGTGTCAATGTCAGACCAGAGGCTAATCTGGCTTCACCATGGCCAAACCTCTGTGCAGCTAAGCTTCACAGGCAGCTGTGATAAACCCAAGGTTGCCAACAGTTCACCTCAAGCTAGCCAAATACATAGCAAGTGCACCCAAACCCACTGCTTGCAGCCAGTACTCACTATGGCCTGTCAAGTCAGGCCCCGCTGGTGGATCCCAAAGGAGCTTCTGCTCCCACTCACGGCCCAGGGGAAGGGATCCCTGAGATGACCAGCAGCAGAATGGACAAGCACAAGGAAAGAAAAATAAGATAGCTTCTCAGTTTTTCCTGATTTGTTCTCAAGTCCAGGGTAGAAACGTATTTGCAAACTGACGTACTGACTGGGGAGCACCTACCTGTGACTGGGCAGAGCTCTGAACCCCAGCACGCTGCTCCTGGATGAGGAACGTCTCCCCTTAGCACAGAGAGCTTCCCGGAGCAGGTGTCTGGGTGAGGTGCATCTGCTGCTCCAAGCCTTAGGTCACACTGGTGGTGCACCCGTGGGCAGACAGGATATGTTTTAGAGGGGAGCACGTGTGGCAGGTCCCCATTCCAGCTGGCCTGGGCCACCAAAGAACAATAGAGGGCCCTATGCTAATGCTCCTGTAGAAATCCAGGCTCCTGGCACCATAAGAGTGATTTACAGCGGTAAATAGTTCCCTTCAGTGTACGTCAATGCTGCCTCAGCAAAGCAGCTAAGACTCATCCCCAAGGTCCAGAATGAAACCTGCCTGAAAATCTTTTGGATCCTTATAGCACCATGAACTGAAGATATAAGGAGGGAATCGAAACTACCTCCTCTGCATAAAAGAAGAGTTCTTTCTTATGAACCTTAAATGCTCTTTATTGTTTGCAAGAAAGTATATACCATCAGAAGTTCCCCTAAGTTCTGGTTTCAAAAAGCTGTTGGGATTAAGTCTTTCTAAGCTATATACGTGGAAAAAAAGTGATGAACTAGAATTGTTTTGTACACCTGGCAATGAAGGAATTAAATATTTTAAATCTCGTTCTTACAAGAATAACGGAGGCTGCAGTGAATTTGCCATCTGTAATGACACCGAGCTGACAGAAAGGACCTGCACCTGCAAAGATAACTACATTGGGGATGGATTTAAGTGTCGAGGCAATATATTCCAGGTAAAGCACTGCATGTGTTTGCTGTCCCTTATTTTTCTTCAGATAACCATTGTATTAAATAAGTATCTCTTGAAACATGCCGATTTTTCTCTTGGACAAATTGGTAAATCCACCCCAGAATTTGAAATAATCCCAGTCCAAGAAACCAGGAATAGGAACAAGATGCTGCAAGATAACCTTACCTACCTAAAGAAAAAACCAAAAAACTGATGGACAACTGTTGTGACTGCAGTACTAGGGAGCTAATACTGGTATTAAGCCTGTTCTTTGATAGAGCAAAGTAAGAACAGAACAGGAGCAATGCAGATGGGCACCATTTATTCCAAATCAGAAGTTCCCTTTCTTGTCCGAGTGCTGCATTTGTTTGCAGTCCTCAGATGTTGCCTCACATTTGCAGCACTGTTACAAAGTCTTGTTCTTGATTGCAGGAACTTCTCAGGGACTCCAACACATCTAGGTTTTATTTCCACTTAGAGGTAAGAAAAGGTTGAGGGGGGAGTTTCAGGGGGTTTTCTCCTCTTCTCTTTTTTTTTTTTTTCCCCTCAAGAGTGTAGGGGGACGGGGAGGAGGCAAGAATCTGGCATGTACCAACATCCTTCAACTTAAGTGGGACTGGATTTGGATCACCAGTCACTAATATCGGAGATGCTCTGATTTAAAATATGAACTGCCATTAAAGACTCTAGAGAACTAATGATCAAGACCAAGACCCCAGGGAAATGTAGGGCCTCCAGACCAGGCATAAAACTGAAGCTTTCACCCATTCACAGCCTGAGATCTTCCAGCACATCTCTCATGAAGTCTGATGTGAGCAAATACCACCCTTCTACTACCCCTGCTGCATTTCCAAACTGTGATGCTGTTTTCACAGTTGCCCCTCAGGATGCTGCTGTGTGCTGCTAGACAGCCAATGTGCACCACCAGTTCTCACTGCTTTTTGGAGACTGGCGGTAATAATTCTCCGTTTAGCCGAGCCTCAGGGCAGCACAAATCTGTATACTGGCCTGCTAGTCCAAAGACTCATATTCTAGCTTTGATTCTGCTACCGTGGTAGACAGATGGCTTCCACTCGCTTTAGCAGAGCTCTTCCTTATTTTAGTTTGTCAGCGGTCATTGCAGAGTGCCTGCAATACCCCAGGTCCATTTGTCCCTCTAACAGTAATTAATCTACTCCTAGGTACAAGCAACCATGTATCAGCTAAATGCATGTACAAACACATGCATATATCCACTCTTGACTATCTCAAGATGAAAGAGTTTATTCATCCTCCCTTGCCCAGGAGGGAATAGCCCTCTCCATCCTCCCTACGCTTCGTGTTTGTTGCAAGCCTTCCCTCTTCTTCTCCTGTTCGTTATTGCAGAGGAAACGGGGACTTGGCTATAGGCCGAAAGAGCAGAGAGAAAAATCTTCCATTTTATACCCATGGGGCTGGGGAGGAAAGTCCACACCGTACAAGAGAGTTTCTCTCACCCTTGCATTGCAGGGAAGGGAACCCAACGCATAGCAGCAACGGGGCTGCGGGCACCACCCCCCACTCAGCAAGGCTGTCCCCATCGCTGCGTGACCTTACAGGCATTAACAACTCATTACTGCTTTGTCCTCTTAAATTTGGCAGGCCTTGTCTATCAGAGATATTGCAGGCCCTGGCCCTTTCACTCTGTTTGTACCTCGCACAGACGTACTAAACGGCGACCCACGAGTAAGTAAGAAAGCCAGAAGTTTTTGGTGAGCTAGCCATGAGTTTTTGGATTCAGATGCCTTGCTCAACTGCTTCTCAACTCCTCCACTTTCTGCTGCAGGTGAAGGACTGGATTGCCAAAGGAGTCATGGCTCAAGTCCTCCGGTATCATATGGTGGGTTGTGCCAGTCTGTTGTACAATGACCTGACAACAATCACCAACATCACCTCTCTCCATGGGGACCCGATACACATCAGCTACTCTCAGGTAACAGAGCATGAAGAGGCAGGGGACAGAATAATAAAACAGCCTGCTTTCATTCAGCTTTTTTTAAAAACCTGAATGGTTCCCTTTCCTCCTCTGATGCACAAAAATAAACAAGTAGCATCAAAAGAAGATTGCCCATTCAGCTGAAGCGTTCAGCACTTATCTGCTATGCAAAGAGTGGAGTTGTACAACCCTTGCTTTGACACAAGTTATTTTATCCTCAGACTCTGGCTTTATGAGCATGATGAGAGTTTGAAAAAGCAAAGGGCAATTTATTAAAACTGAAGCTACTGTTTTCTGCAAAGAAATTTGGCATCAGCCTCACCCTCCCACAAGGTTCCACAGAAAATGTGTTTTTGTTGCCTTTCCAGAACTCGCTAGTTTTGAACAACAAAGCTGAAATCATACTCAGCGATGCTGTTGGGACAAATGGCGTGATCCATGTCATAAATCAAATTCTGGTCCCATCACATATGCAGGATTTCTCCCTTAAGAAGGTATGTGCAGCTTATTGCTGTTCTCAGTGCAGGGGCTTTTCCACAGTTACTGTCAGATATATAAATCATGTAAGTCACAAAAAAACCAGTGATACTAAAAAGACCTTATACAAATGTCATTTGACACTGCTGAATAAGTTAAGTGTATTTAAAAGTCATTCAGGAATTACAATTATACTAAGAACACTATAAGAGGACTTCTGCACAGGGCTTTTACAGTGGCATTGATTTCATAACAAAAAGTGACTTACAGGGGAAAGCAAGCTAATATCTGCTTTTTAAATACCCATGTAATGTATTTATTAGATAAATTACTCAAATTCCTTTCTTTGTAGGAAAGCCTTAAAATGGTTGCAGCCAAACATGGATACATCCTGTTCAGCAGTTTGCTAGAGGTAAGGACACAAGAGACAGCAGCCATTGAGCAAAGGTTTTAAACACTTTTTTTAAAGATGAAAGCATAGACACAGCACATGGCATTACTGGCAGGATGGTGTTCAGTGGAGCCAAAGGGCTCACAACACAGTAGACGACAACCCTGGTCACCACGTGGTCCCTCTCCCACAGAGGTGGGGGGATGTCAAGCAGACCCACAGCCACCTTTCCCCTCCCTACTCAGCTCTGTCCTACCGTATGTCAAATTACGTGGCCAAGGTTTGACCCAAGTATGACTTTTTGAGCCCAAAGTTGGGCTGCTAGCCTGGTTTAGAGTGGGCAGCCCTGGGTGATGAAGCACTTCTGATAATTCGGTCACGTAACTCAACTTGGGCAGCTCAGCTCAGGCGTCTGGTTTTTAAAGTCAGGGTGTTTGCAGGCTGGTGACCAGGCAGCCCACAGGCCACTGCATCCCAGTTGTATTAGGCATTCATTCCATATGGTCAATGTCTTTTTAGATGGAGCATTAATCCTCCGCCTCCGTAATTTTTGGTATGTTGCAGAAAAACAACCTGCTTGGGCTGATCAACGATCCTATTCACAAACCCGTCACGCTCTTCTGGCCCACAGACGCAGCTATCCGTGGGCTGCCACAGGAACAGCAGGACTTCCTCTTCAAGAAGTCCAACACTGACAAACTGGTGCAGTACCTCAAATTCCACATTGTCCGTGATGCTGCGGTAAGCCCTTGCTTTTTAAGAGCATTGCTAAGGCCAAGACATACAAGCCCAGGCACGTGCATTTACCCTGTTTCCTTCCCAGGTGTTGGCCTACCAGCTCCCCCGCTCCACCTCATTGAAGACCCTGCAGGGCTCCAACCTCAGCATTAGATGTGGAGATAACAGGGAGATTGTAAGTGTTCTCTCTGCCGGCACACTTACCCCTTGCCCCTGCTGCAGGATCCACTCATGCAGACCCCACTGTGCCTATGCATAGCTCCCAGAAAGGATCAGCGGCATCAAAACCCAGTTGGTCTTTGCCGGTCCATGCCAACAGCCCCAAAACCAGGGCATACCATACATACATACCCAACAGATTCAGCAAACTAGGTGGTTTGCAAGGCTCTTTGGAGCTGTCATTTTCTCTGTTGTAAGATGCTATTTGTTCAAAACAGCTCTCAGTCACCTCAAAACTGAAATACCAGCACATTTTAACTTCTCTTACAATGAAATACACAATGGAAAACTATTTAGGTGAACCTGGCTTTGCCAGAAACCTCATGAATGCAGCATCTGCGTGCAAACTCTGGTTTGTAAGCACTTACATGCATGCAGCCTGTTAAGCCAGAACAAGGGCATGTTTTTCTTTGCAAATGTATCAGATCATCCCTGGCAAGCATCTGCTTCTGAAAACGTGACTAAACCTAAATGTGCATAAGGTAAACCTGTGGACATAGGGCTGGCAGGAAAGGCAAAAGATCTGCCCATGTGTGATGTTACAGCATTCAGCTATAGGTGCCCAGATTGATTTAGAGCAAAGGGAGGATTATCCCTAACGCCCATGCAGGACCTGGATTCAGCCTGGCCCCAAGGAAGACTGGCTCATGGCTCGTCATGCCCCCTTCTCCCCATCCCATCTCTCAGGGCGCCCTTTTCCTGAACGACAGACACTGCAAGATAGTGCAGCGGCAGCTGGAGTTCGACGGGGGCATCGCCTACGGCATCGACTGCCTGCTGACGGACCCCAGCCTGGGGGGACGCTGCGACAGCTTCTTCACCGTGGATTTCATGGTCAGTCCCCTTTTTTGCTCTCCCACCCCAGCAAAAACACAGCCCAAGGACCAAATCCTGTCCTCACAGAGACCGGGGCAACACGCGCGTGGATTTCATGGTCAGTCCCCTTTTTTGGTCTCCCACCCCAGCAAAGACACAGCCCAAGGACCAAACCCTGTCCTCACAGAGACCGGGGCAACACTCACAGCAGCTTTGGCACTAGTGAGATTAAGTCCCACCGCTTCAGGCTGGCTTCATCTGCCGCACTGGTTAGAGCTAAGGTTAAGAAGCACAGCACAACGCCTGAAAGATACACAGCAGAAATCCTGCATCCACACTAAGCAACACGCAGGACAAGTGGTTTCAGTTAAGACCAGCTTAGAGACCCCTGCCCTGTTCTCAATAAGAACAGTACATTACAAAGGCGAGCATAAGTTTGAGCAAGGACAGATCTTCCTATCGTGCTTTTAAGTTAATACAAATTCACACTATGAATTTGATCATACAGATTGCATTTACAAAGTTCCCAATTACAAAGGAACAGTGTTGCTGTCCTAACTGCACAGGGTATTCGGGACACAAGATAGAGAACAGCCTAGTCTGTTAGCCAGGCTTTCGGTCTCTCACATTTCGTGTTTTCACAGAAATATCCTTTAACACACCTGAACAGACACTGTTAGCGTGGAGGAAGTTTCCTCCATGAACTTTGGTAGGTCCCACAAACAGGAAGTTTTGAAACCCATTTTGAAATGGTTTCAAGACCAAATTTCTTCAGTTTAATTCGAATGTATGAAAAAATTACCTAGAAGTAAAAAAAATTTCGTGTAGTCAGTCTTAAAAAAGCTTATTGGAATTTATATTTCAGTTATAAAACCAACACTTGTGTGTATCCCATCTGCTCAAGTTACCTTTTGTTTCATGATTTTGTTAAATGAAATAGATATTATTTCCTCAGATCTGGTCAGCGCTTCCTTAGAAGTAACCGTTTACCTCTACTCCAAATTAGACATGCAGATCTGATGCAGCCCATGTCAATATTTGTTTGAAGAATATCCACTATCTTTTCCCTGCTTGTTTAAATTCAGAGCAAAGCTCCTTCTTCCAGAACTTATATTCTGGTATCAAAACTGATTTCTTGCATTTCATGGCACTAAATTAATGCAACTATTTTGTTGTCATTCTCCTCTCTTCTTTCTTCAGAGTTCTTATAATGTTTCAAGCATAATAAGCCTACACTCTTCTCTGCTCATGTTTGCTGTTCTCATAAAACAGACTTTTTGTCCATTTCAAATAGCCTTTTGTTGCCATTATTTTAATATACTTTTTTTTTCTTGTCCATTGTATACAACAGGGGCATTGTGTTAGCTGTTTCAGTAATTCTAAATGCCCTCCAGGGACAAAACCAAAGGTAATACATTAAAATCTTGCACTTAAGCAGTCTAACCTGCTCTTCTCTGTACTTCACACAAGCAAACTAGAATAAGTTGCTTTGAAAAAATAAAAAGAGAACCCTCAGTGAAACCACACCGTTAAGTGATGCCGTAAAGCCTCCGGGACAAAGCTGACCCTGGGCAAACACCCAGACACTGGTGGGCGGGACGCTTGTCAGTCTCACACAGCACCCACTGTAGCGAGTGCTTCAGTTGACTTCGGAGCAGCCCCTCCATCCCCATTAACGGTGCTTAGCAAGTTGGGAATCAAGGAGAAGGTGGGGGCCTCACACCTGCACTCTTCACAAATCACATTTTGATTCGATGTACATCAGAAACTGTGATTTAAAGAGGAGAAAACCCAAACCCCCACATAGCACCCTTCTTCCTGTGTTTTTCCCCCTCTCCGCGCCGGCACATGCGATGCCCAGGAAGGGATCCACTGGTGCACGTACGAGTTCTACGGGCTGCGGAGGGACGGCTGCCGCAGGAACTGCTCCATGGTCATCCACACGGCCAAGTGCTGCAAGGGCTACTTCGGGCCAGACTGCCAAGGTAGGACCCCCCGGCCACCGGCCTCCCAGGGCACAGCTGCGTATCCCAGCAGGTTACTGAACTGTGAGAGCTGGCAGAGGGGGCATGAGGAGAGACCAGCCGCAAGATGGAGGAACTCTGTTGCAAGAGCCGAAGTAAACAGAAAATACTATTGCTTTTCCACTCCGAATAATCTCTTTTTCACATTTACAGCAAGTTTTAAACTCCATGCTAGTAGCAAACAAAGTGAATGCTATAGAGAGTAAGGACTGCTCTGCTGTAAGCAAACCTAGCGAGTCTTAATCAATCACCAGCTGAAAGTCCTTTCAACACAAAAACGGACATCAGGTTCATGGCAGTGACACAGGACACACCAGAGACACGGTGTTTGATTCCTCAGCCACCTGCAAGCATGCACACCACTGGTGTAAGCTGAGAAATTGTAGCTTTAACCAGGTGTGAGACAGTTTGGGAAGCTTTATCTCCAGCTGTTCATTTGCAGACACTGACGAACTGTGTGCTCCTTCCCCTGCCAGCCCCACAGGGGAGCAGTACTGGGGCTCTCACCAGGGCACGCGGGGTCAGGATCCGGGTTAGGATCTCTGCTGGCAGACAGATCCAGGGACACTAGACCTGCCGGATCGCTCTGTCCGGATTTCACAAACAGACACATGGGGGTCCCAAGCAATTTTGGCCAGCCCAGCCTGAGCTGCCCTTTGGGCTCACTGGTACACGGACGTGCACAAACAAGGCTGGATTTGGGCAGGGGCTGGGCAGTGCTATTCACTGATGGGTCTGAGTGGGCAAGCACCCAGGTAACAGCACCCAGACCCAGGGCTGGAAGAGTCCACACCACCTTTCTGACAAGAGTTGTAAAAGCACATCAAGGAATTCAGAGCAGGAGACTTGCAGTCGCAAGTGTCACAGCTGCTTTTACATACCCCAACAGAGACGCATTTACAGGCCTTTCCCTGTTCAAGGATTTTTACAGAACAATAAATAACAGAGTGACAATGAATAAACATGCACTTGAGCTAAACAGCCCCTTTTTTTTTTTTTTTTAAACCTTTCAGCTTGCCCAGGGGGCCCAGAGACCCCATGCAATAACCACGGCTCCTGCAACGATGGCTACACTGGGACAGGAGAGTGCCACTGCGACAGCGGCTTCAACGGGACTTCATGCGAGCTGTGTTTGCCAGGCAGATATGGCTCCAATTGCAGGCGTACGTTTAAGTTACCTTTCCATATCGTTGCCCATGTCAAGCCTAAACTATTTTGTCAGCGATGAGTTTTTAAGTAAACCAAGAAATGCTTCCCACTTTCAACACCAGCATTTTTCCTCGAGTGCCTCCTCACACGTAGGGATGGCGCAAGGTCTCAGAAGGAAGGAGGAGAAGGCGGGGGGGCAGAGGCTTACGTAGTTTTCTCTGCAGGGCTCCTCCTAGTCTTGTAGGGTACATAAGTAATAGGGACTAGAGACAGAACCTCCGTCAACAACCTCCGTTTTCAACTACAGCACAGCCTTCTCCCCCGTCCCCATTAAAGGCAAGACAGCATTTTAGCAATGTGGTTCCTCAAGGATTGCAGGAGGCCAAGGCCATGCACTGCTTTTGCAGAAGAGAAGAAAAAGGACAGAGATGAAGGCAGTTTGTGCAGAGGGATGGCAGCCAAGAAACTGCTCATATAATCCACTTCACTGTGGTTTTAAGTGTAAACTAGGTTGAACTTAAATACTTTCCCAACATAAAGCCTTCAGATGGGAAGCTACAATATTAACGCTTCCATCCTAAACGTGTGCCTCTGTAGTGCTCATGAAATACATACGATGGAGGGTTATAGGCTAGATACCCTTGCAGTGTAGGCAAGACACCAGGCTTGGACACCAATGCTCAGGATTATGCTTACCTACAGATTATCCATTTTACAGCACACCATAGTATAAACTGCATGAGCTGTTAGTCTGAAACACAGATCGTGGTGTCTAACAGAAAAGTTTTATAGCCCCTTCTTTTTAATGCATATTTATATCAGCCAAAAATTAGGTAACCAGGCTAAATGAAATAAAGCCAGAGAATGAAACTCCTTTTCAGCAAGACCAGGTTTTCAGAGAATCAGTTCACCCAGTGCCACATCATTTTCCTCTTTAAACAGCAATATTTCAGGAAGAGGGATAAGGCAAGAAAGGATGCTACTTCATTATGTTGTAAAACAGAGCACCATCAATAATTCCTTAAGAAGAACTCAGCATGCAAGTTATTGTAGGGCCCAAAGAGTGGGGAAAAAACATCACCTATAGGTTAAATCAGCCCCTCATGCTTCATAAAAATATCTAAAACCTAAAAAACACATTACAGGTAACTTGCCCACGTTTTACAGCAAAACTCACTAACCTCATATTTGGCTTCCTTACTCAGACAGACCTTCTCCCAGGTGGCAACCAAACACTCTCTCTCTGGACACCTTACTTCTCTTTGGCTAGAAGGCTTCCCCACAGCTAGCAGCTGCTGCACATTAGGAGAGGATCAGGCTGGGTCTTCAGCTTAGCCGTTAACTCCTTCCTGACACAGTCCTTTGTGAAATTTGCTACTCTACCACAATGCAGATCAATACCCATTTTCATTTCCAGAGGCACGTTGAACTAATGCCAGTTATAAAATCAAAGGACCACAGGATAATTCAGGTTGGAAGGTAATTCAGGGCCTCAGGAGGTCTCTAGTCCAATCTGCTGCTCAAAGCGGGGTCAGCCCTGAGCTCAAGCCACATTGTTCAGGATTTATCCTGTCGGGGCTTGCAAACCTCCAAGGATGGAAACTGCCCAGCGGCTCTGGGAAGTGTGGTCCACTGCTTGACTGGCCTCATGGTGAAAAATCATGAGGTTAGATTTATCTGAAAAATTGCTAAATAATACTGTATCTAAACTGACAGTATAGGTGATGTTTCTGCAGGGAAAGATTTTCCTCTTTCCCAACAACAGCTCAGTAAGTGATCCCTCTGCGTTCCTTTTGCAGCCTGCGAGTGCAAGACCAACGGGCAGTGTGACGAAGGATATTCAGGAACGGGACGATGTTTCTGTGAAACAGGATGGACTGGCCGGCTGTGTGAAACCAAGCTAGGTCTCTGACTCCTCTCATCAGGCTCCATCACATGGAGCCATGGGTTGAAAGCACTTGCAATTCAACAGAGGGTTTGCATAGAGAAGAGAGAGAAAGGGTTAATAACATCAGAAGCCCTCAAAGGAGACTGAGGGACTCTGCTCTGGACTGAGAACAAGTCCCTTCACCCCCCTGTCTCCTCCTTTGTGAAATGGGAATATGAGTGCCTACCTCCCCTGTGGAGGGGCTTTGGGCTACATGAGGGAAGGTATCGCCTGAGAGCTAAGCAGTCAAAAAAATATTCTTACAGGTTTTCCAGTTAGCAAGACTGGTATGAGGGCTTTTCTTTCTGCATGAAACAAGGGCATTGCAATATAAATAGCACTTTCACCCCAGCTGTTTTGCCTTCCCCACAGCTCTGCCGCCAGTGTGTTCCCCAAGCTGCTCCGCCAACGCCGTCTGCACGGAGAACAACACGTGCCAGTGCAAGCCGTTTTACAACGGGGATGGGCTCACATGCAGAGGTGAGCTCCCTCTCCCATTCACAGCCTGCTACAAGAAAGCAGGCTGTCCCCTCTTGCATGTGCACTTGCGTGCTGTTACCATCTGGTGTGAAATGTTGGCTACCAAACCTAACAGCTTCCACGGCACAGCAAGTGAAACAAATTTAGGATATATACACATCAGTTTTTTTCTGGAGCAAGTGGCTGGCTTCACCAGGTTTTACCAAGCAGGAGTATGAGCAAGAAGTGTGTTTCAGTCAGATTTTGGAGACAGCAGGGTTTTCAGCAGTGTTTCACTTACAGGATTTTCTTTGATGACCTCAGGCAAGGTAGTTCCCCAGTAACATCGCTGCAGAAACAGTCATTCTTTCTGAGACAGGTGTCTCATGTCCTCCGAAGTCACCCTGGCCGGAGCAGAGTCCCTAAAAAAGGCGAAGCAGAATCTCTGGGGGGTGGTGCCATGTCTCTTAAATCGAGGACATCCTGGGCTTCAGAGCCCTAAAGGGTAGCCTTCGCACAAGTTCAGGAACGCCTCAGGAAACTCAAACAGGTTTTTTTCCCTAAACAAGCATTCCAGTATTTTTAGTGTGCCTTAAAAATCTGGAGGTGGTTTGTCTTTGTGAAGAACATCCTCTTCAAAAGCAGACGTACTCACCTGTTTTCTTTTCCCCCGTGCAGCTGCGGACCTTTGCAAACAAAACAACGGCGGGTGCCACAAGGCGGCCGAATGCACACAGCTTGGGGTGAAAGTCTTCTGTAGCTGCCAGAAAGGATACAAAGGCGATGGCTTTACATGCCTTCCAATAAATCCTTGCGCCGATGGGTTCAACGGAGGCTGCCATGAGCATGCCATTTGCACTGTCATAGGACCTGTAAGTTGAATGATTTCAGTCACCAGCAGGGAAGTCGAGGCATTTCTTCCTGGTGCCAGCAGAAGTCTTTTCTCTGGCTGGATCACACTCTGTACGTCTCAAAGTCCCTGTTTTCCAAAACAACATTTACATAGCTCCAGCCTACTTTCCACACCAGTTTGGTATCCTTTCAGCTGAGGGGTGAGACACAGTTTGAAATCTTTCCTCTGGGGAAAGGGGTACTACACCAGATGGGGTATTTTGCATGTGTAATTTTTCTGTCCCTTTCTTAGCTCTCTCTAACTGGATATCCCTATTTGCAATGGGAGTTTGTTGGATTGAAACTGGATATATTTTGGTAGCTAAACCTAGGGACAGTTGGGAGAACAGTCTCACTTGTTGGTTGGCCGGACTCAGCTTAAAAAGCTCTGCAGCCACATGATAGAAATTCCTTGGCCCACACGGTCAATGTTGTTGAGGAAAACATGTGCGGTGACTTGATCCAGCATTTGTCCTGATGCTTTCGGGATCACCTCTCCGTTCCATTTTGGTGGCTTGCCTGACGTGTCTTCCAGGAGCTATCTAGAAAAGCCTTGCTGCTAATCTGTTCCAGCTGCCAACCATCGCAATCCCTGGATGTCACCAACTCCTGCTTGGTTTATAGTTCTCAATTTATTACTATCAGTAATAAATTCATTTCATGCTCCCATGCCCAGTCATTTAAATATCATTTTGATAGGTTTGCCATCCATTTTCGTTAATTACGTGTCATATAATTCTCCAATGCATGTTATTAGCTTTGTGGATGGAATTATGCTTTGGTATTAATTCAGCAAAGCACCCAAGTGCATGTGTAAATTGCTTAGAAGAATAAATGCCAGTGTCAGAGTTTGTGGTCTGTTGAATCACAGTTGTTAGTAGCAGCTTTCCTGTTTGCCCATTCCTGGCTATATCAAGTGAAATTTTTCCAACACTTCAGAATGTTGGTTGAAACACCGCTTTTATGTCAGCTAAGTACTTGGCTTAGCCTTTTTTATTTTCTCTCTGACCAGGACAAACGCAAGTGCGAATGTAAAAATAACTACATTGGTGATGGGCTGAACTGCTCGGTGATGCAGCTTCCTCTTGACCGCTGCTTACAGGACAACGGGCAGTGCCACCCCGACGCTGACTGTGCCGATCTCCACTTCCAAGGTGAGCATGGCACACTGTGCAGGCCCTGGGACAGGGACATCCTCGTCCCCGTGCCACTGCATTGAAGCCAGTGGCCAAGATCCTTGTGTCTGTAAGCTCACTCAGTCCTCTACCTATGTCCCCTTGAAACAATGAGATGATTAAAGTTAGAAGGTGTGCTTACGTACTTTGCGATACTGGATTTATGAAGCAACAGATGAGGGCATTCCAGGTAGGAATGTTACCCCTAAGGGATCAATCTGTCCTAACTACATTTCACAAAATTCACAGGTATTGTATAGCAAATTTGTATGGCACGGTTGACTCTGCATGCAGACACAGAAACACCCTCAGGAAGGGCTGGTCCTTCTCTCTCTTTGCAGATACCACGGTTGGGGTTTTCCACTTACGGTCCCCACAAGGGCAGTACAGGATGACTTATGAGAAAGCAAAGGAGGCCTGTGCCAATGAGTCAGCCACCATCGCTACGTATAACCAGCTGCTGTACGCGCAGAAGGTGAGGTAGCCTCACTGCGGGAGGAGATGCGTGGAGAGGACCTAGCTGCAAAATGTGAGGCTGGACCACGGCCAGCATGTAAACCTCCTTCTGCTGCCCGGGGAGATTTAGACTGAAGCCTGAGCTGCATGTCCCCTGCATCCCATGGTCTAAATATTTCCCTCGAAGCAGCAGTCGGCAGTGGGGCTGCCTCCAGTGCTCCCAGGGAGTTATTTTCTGCTTGTGAGCTGGTTTGTGAGCCCTTCCCACACTGACAAAAGGTGGGCTGGCACACGATGGGATTGCATTCCCCCTTTGGCTTTCACACCCATCTCTGATCCTGCCTGGCTTTGGGCTTGGGGAAGCTTTTCTCAGGAAAGGCTCCCTTGGCCCGTACGGGGAGCCACTGACCTTCAGAGCGGCCCTGTCTCCGCAGCCCCTTGGCCCAGAGCTCAGCACAGGGCAGGCTGCGGGACAGATGGACGGACAGAGGCCCCTCAGACCCTCCGAAAGAGGGCTGGCAGGTCGGGTGCTGCCTAAGTGCCCTGGGGGGATTGTCCTTTTCGTCCGCAGCGCCCCAGCCCCACCACCCAGCTCTTCCCCCAATGTTTTCTCCCTTACGGCCATGCCGAATGCAGGCGAGGTACCACCTGTGTGCTGCCGGCTGGCTAGACGATGAAAGAGTGGGCTACCCAACTGCCTTCTCCTCCCCAAACTGTGGCTCCGGGTACGTCGGCATCGTGGACTACGGGAGAAGAGTCAACCTGAGTGAAACCTGGGACGTCTTCTGCTACAGGGAGAAAGGTAAGTGGGTCCTTTGCTGCATCCCTCTGCACAAAGGGGAGCAGCAGCCTGGTTTTCGGTTCCTTTGGTCGGCCACAGGCTACTAGATAACACTGCAAGAGACTCTGCCTCTTCTTAACTTTAAAAAAAAGTATCTGTTGCCTGCAAGTTGTTTTTCAGGCACAGGGCAGCCTAAAGCCTTCTAGCAAAGAGCATTTGCCCACGCGGCTATCTGTGTTTGTACCTTCCAGAGGTGAACTGCACCTGCAAGCCAGGCTACGTGGGGGACGGCTTCTCTTGCAGCGGGAACTTGCTACAAGTGCTGACGTCCTTCCCAACGCTGACAAACTTCTTTTCGGTACGGCCCACAGCTGGCACGCTGCTCGGTCGGGTGAGCAGAGCGAAGCAGGCTCTGCCACCAGGTTGTATCTCAGTGTTTGGTTTAGTAGCAGGTAACAACAGCACACCAGCAAAGCAAGGTGGAGTGGTCCAAATCTGCACCGTCGAAATCAGAACTTAGTTGCTATTTTTTTAATTACTTGCTCCAAAGAGGTTTTGGGGTTTTTAAATCTCGTTTGGAAATTAAACGCTACTGCAGCTTTAGCTTAAAGAGGATTCTGTGCACAACTGCTCCTGGCTTTCTAAGCATCACAAGGTGTGCGGTGCTTTTTTGTCATTTTATTGAACTGCTGCTGGGGAAAAAGGCAAAGCATTAAAAGGGTTTAATGCTTAAAAATGCTGCTTAAAAGCAGCATTCTTGCTGCTACTCAGAAAGGCATTATACGTGTAAGGAGACTCACAGACAACAAGGGCCCAACTCCTGCAAGTCAATTTAAGATGTGCTCGCCAAATCAGCAGCTAAAACTGGGTTTTGAATACAAACTTCTTCCATAGTATCACTTCAGAGTTGTTTTGTGGCTATAAAAAGAAAGCTTCTTTGTCATTATTTATACAGTCTCATCTTTCCAGCTCCCTGCACAGGAGCGCACAGTTGCTCTTTAGTAAAGCTGGATTTTGTTTCTGCCTAGGACATCATGGCTTACTCCAACAGCTCTAGGAAGGGGAGAGAGTTCCTGCGGTACCTCACGGACCTGTCAGTGCATGCCACTCTCTTTGCTCCAAACGATAGCGGGTTAAGGGAAAATGAGGTCAGGGTTTTTTTCTTTTTTCCTTTCTTGTTTTAATAACACTTTTTAAACAGCCATTATGGGTTTCTGTATCCTGGTGAAATTTAAGTTTAAAAAAAAAAATAATCTTAGTATGACATGACTTCTTTGTAACCCCACATCGTTTAAACTGTGCTTCTGAAAGAGGCGAGTTCTTCGTTTCAATTTCTTTTCCATAGTTAGAAGTGTAAGGTTATTGAGTGTTTGAGTCATTACAGAGACTTTTCCGTCAGGGATTTTAGTTACCCAGTTACAAAGGAGTCTGCCTGAGATTAAGCCTTCTCTGGCTTATTAAGATCAAGCACAGTTATTTGAAGAAATCAATGCACAGTTTTGGTATTTTCCACAAATACGTTAAAGGCATCTGTTCCTAGCTTCATTTCTGTGCTTATCCCTTTTTTCCTTCCTTCCTTCCTTCCATCATTGTCTCAAACAATTCACGTGGGTTTATGCCCTGGCTTGCATCTTCAAGCTGTTTGGAATATCTCTGAGGCTTATCACTTCAGGTCATCATACAAAAGAGTAAAATCCTTTGCCCCGCCAGAATCCAGGTAGTGCCCGCTGTAGGCAGCCGTCAGAGGCCAGCAGGGCTGGAGGATCCCACTGTTCACATCCAGATTTCCCAGTAGCCTCTACCCCATATTGCACTTGCAAAAAGGGAAAAAGGTCACAGGCACTTAGCCTACTGGTAAATCCAGAGGATTAATAAGATCAGTTAATGTTCCTTGTATTTTGCTCTCATTTGCAGACACTTTCCGGGCGAGACATCGAGTATCATTTATCTAATGCCAGCATAATGTTTTATGAGGACTTGATCAACGGAACAACTCTTCTAACCCGTCTTGGGGAAAAACTCCTCATCACAAACACCAGGGGCCAGGAACATCAAGCCCCCACCGCTGGACAGGTACCTTTTTAATAAATCTCCCATCTTTGGTGCTTTTTCCCCCTTTATGCTATACCCTGTAATCGGGTGACACACTGATCCGGAGAGCAATTCGGCAAGGTTATAGGGGGCAGCCATGAGATGCTGACTTCAGAAGGCTCTTTCCTGCCCAGAGACTGCAGGAGAGCCGCTGGCAAACTGCAAACGTACAAGTTTGCAAATGGCCAACCTCTGACCCGCGGAACTCGAAGGAAGCTGTTCAGGTGGCCTGCAGGAATGGCAGGATGGGGATACGGGCTTCTTTCAGCCTGGCAGGATGATGGGAGAGGGCAGTGCGATAGGAGGAGAGATGAGAGCAGCAGCTTATCATGAAAGAAAGGCATTTGTGAAATTTCTTGGTAACTTTCTGGGAGAGGCAGGAGACACCAGCCTTGCTCAGAGCAAAAGCAGACAAAACAGTGGCTTGCATTTTTTATTACTGTTTCAGTGTTTTTTAAATGCAAAAATTGATGCCCTTTTTGCAAATGGAAAGTATCCTTTGACATTTTAGAGGCACAACACATCCTTTGAAAACACACCCAACTTTTCATTTTTGATTAAGAAAATACTCACTGCCCGAGCATTTCAAATGACCTCTGTGACAGCAACCCCTTGAGACCGAGGTTGGGACTCTGCTGTGGGTGATGCAGTATAGCTGAATATGAAAATAAGAAACCTTGCGTCTGTGGGCTTGCAGTTAAAACATGCTCTAGACAATGGCGCTGGACCCAAGGAAAGTTGAGTGCCCAACATGCCAACTGAGGGGGAGGATTTTCACGGACACCAACAAGAAGGCAATAGGTGCTGCAGGAAGAGCTGCACAAATGACTCATCTGTTGCCTTTGCTCCCTTCCTCCTTCCCCTTTCAGGAGAAACTCCTTTGGCATGAGAATTACCATTTATATTTTTAAAGCCACCCTATACTGCAAACCCAGTAATTGCATTAATAAAGTATTACCGCATGAAAGATCAGGTGCACCAGCACAAGGCTTACCTGTATCACTCATTAGCATACCAGGAGCTCTTTTGGATCACTTCAATCTGATACTTGAGTTAGAAGAGATTCCCCTTAAAAAAAATCCTCCTTTCTTCAAAAGCTGCCAAGGGGAGGCTCTGAGCCCATTAACACAAATCTTGCTCCTGCCCTTCAAGGATGGTTGGAAATTTGTAGCTTTTCTTCCTCCCTGGAGGACCTGAGCAAGCCCCCAGCTCCCCTGGCTGCAGTAAAGCTCGTCGGGGTGCCAGGGTGGGAAGGAAAAGTGGCAGCCGCTTCCCACGCATGCCCCAAGCAGCCAAGCCCCCGCCTGTCCCAGCACACGAGGTCAGAGCCCACGAGCTTTCCCCAGGACCCTGGCAGGACAGCGCGGGGGTGAGGGAGAGGGAGGAGGTCATGGTGTGACTCCCACACCACTCTGTGGTGCCACCATGGCTGAGCCCCTTCCTCCCTGGGCACAGAAAGCCGCCGTGCGCTTTAGCAGCAGCTTACCACCTCAGGCCGGGGGCAAGAGCAGGCAGCAGCTCTCGGTTCTGCTCACTGAGGAGAAACCATTTTGCTAGGATTCAATTTAAAGCAGAGTTTGCAATAGCACGGACACCCATGAACCCATCCTCCCAAAATGCTGCAGAGACTCAGGATAGGCTTGAAGCAGTCAAGGACTCCCGTTATCAGCGGAGCCTAGAGAAGTGTTGGGGTGGCAATGACCGATCCCATCCCTCTCCCTTCTCACATCCTGACGAGCTGCTGAATGGGACCATCTTCCAGCTCACTGACGCTAGGCCACCAAATAATCTGCGGGCAGCGGCTCCCCGTCAGTGCTGACCCAGCTCTCTCAAGGCAGCAAACTCAGTGCAAGTGGCAGCCTCAGCACAGAAAGCAGCTGTAATGGGGGCAGGCTGCAGCTGTAACAGCACTCCTAGGCAGAGCTTGGCAATTGCACATCACAAAAACCGTTGGTGTTTTTTGTTGTTTTTTTTTTTTAAAAAAAAAGTAGGGGGACAAAGAAGTGCCTGAAGGCAATATGCAGGTAATGATGATGGTTAATTCATGCACAGGAGAGCCATGTCCAGCCTGGGGCCATCCCAGGCTGATGGCAAGGGAGGCAGCAGTGTAAGCCCCTATGTGATTTTTCTCTATCTGTCAGTAACTGAGGTGGGGAAATAGTCTCAAGGTTTATGTCAGTCCCAAAGGGAGGAGGGTCAAAGCTCAGCTCTCATTGCTCTTTCTCCTGGCAGAACGAGATCAGATACGTGGACAGAAGTGCTATTGTAGAGTGGGATATAATCGCTTCCAACGGGATAATCCATGTCATTTCAGAGCCTTTAAAGGCTCCACTAGCACCTGTAAGTACATAGTGATGTTTTTTTTTTTTGGGTGGTGGGCAGTGGCTGTGGCTTATATCATCCCAAACACATTACTGGCATCCGTATATTCCCAGTTTCCCTCCTGTATATGCAGTTTTGGTTTAAAAGGTTACTTTGAAAGAAAATTAGAAGTTGAGAACAAGGTGCCAGTGAAGCTTGTTCAAAATGTTTCTGTCTGAACAAGTTCTTCCCACATTTATTTTAAATAAATAAAATAAAAGCCCCATTTTATAATGGAGCTCATTTGTGTAATGGAGGTTTTATAAAGCTCCATTTCAGTTCTTTTAGAAATATCTTTCAAGCTTCTAAGGAATTTTTTTTTACTCTTGGCTTTGCATTCATTCCTATCCAAAACAACAAGGTGTTTTGAAAACAGATGTTTTTTGCCCTGCAATGGTCCCAGTTACCCAATTATCTCTCCCATTAAAAAGGCCAAAGCAAACAGTGCATGGCAGAACAGCACAGGTCAGAAAGGGGTGCCGTCCCTTCCATGGAGGCAAGTCAAGTTAGCAGCTGCAGTGCTTCACGCTGGAATCAAAATGGTACAGGGCCCAGCAGCAGGGAGGCAGGAACAGTGTTCTGTTTATTTCCCACCAGCAAAGTTTTCTGTTTGGTATGAAAGGGAGGAAAAACATTTTGTTCACCTGCAGTGCAACTGGGATGTTTCACAAAAGTGATCCCTGCTGCCCCTGGGAGAGGTGCGCAGCGAGCGCCTTTTTTTCCAGGACAAAATGTTTTCCTTAATGAAGTAAGCGTTCAGATGCGCAGCGCTCCCCACCTTTGTTCCACGGAGGGTACTCTGTGACAGCCCAACACAGGCTCAAGCTGACTTTGCAAGAAGTCCCACCACTTATTTAATCTGAAGAACGTCTCTTCCGTCAGGGTAACTCATTCTGATCCTTCTCTCCGTGCGCTGGAGGGGCCTCACTTAAGTTTACAGCCCATCCATCCCAGCTCTGATTTAGGAAGCGGCTAACCAGCTGCCTCTGTCCACAGGATTAATCCTATCGATACCCTATTTCTCACCTTCATTTTATTTGAGCAACCCTTTCTCCTTTACAAATCAGCCTTCTTGTTCCTAGAAGCTCAGTAATATGCCTGCACAATCTCGCTTCACAAAAATCCCTTGCAGCCTACAATCCTCACAAGTAGGAAATAATACACTTGGGTAAAAGCATAAATTACTGCCTGAAAATGATTCAAAATAATAGGCAATTTCTATCAGTCTACAGCAGCATGATATTACAGTCTTTATAATACCTTTCACATGCTAGAGGGCAACTAAATGTTTTCTAATATTTAGCTGTCCAGCTGCACCATGTAAATTACTTTGTTTTCTAAAAAATAAATGAAGAGAACATATCTATTAAGACAACAATGCGATTATTTTTGCCAGGGTAAGTTCAATAATTAGTTTTCTAGGCAGGGAGCCACCAAGCTAGGGCATGACATGGAAAAGCAAAAGTAAGAGCATATGAATCTCCTACCCACTTCCAAACCCCTTCTCACCTCCCAGATTGCCAGCAACGAACACAGTGCTTTGGGGAGATTGCAGCCTGAGTGCCTGCGTGCCCTGGGATCCCTCAAACTTATCATCACCCCAAAACTGCTGGTCACCTTCATGACATCAGTCTATCAGGCCACAGAGCTGCAGAAGGCAAACCAAAGTCAGTCTGGAGGCATTTCTCTCCTTTAGATTAAATCCAGATCACATGTGAATTTCTTTCAGTCCTTCACCTACACATTTATCAAAATACTTACAAAATATTATATACAGTTACTTGGATTGGCACTTTACCTGTTTGACTGAAGAATGATTTCGGGTTAAAGGCATTGCATGTTTTGGGGCAAAATGACTTACAGAAGGCAGGTGTCGGGCCGCTGGGGGAGCCCCGCCCTGTGCACCCTCTGCAGTCCCCCTAACCAGCAATGAGATGGGCCTCATCTCAGACGTGGTTTGGTTTGAGCCCTGGTAAGCAGGGCTCAGAGGATGGCATGGCTGCCGATAGCTGGCAACAACCAACACCTTCCCAGCACACAAAGCAGTGGGGAATAAGCTTGAACCCATGCAGAGTCCTCTAGGGTTTGTAGCACAGGTTTCCAAAGCTGCTTAAGGGAATTTGGTACCCACTTCTCCTCAGGCCAGTGAGGCTTCAGCCTCAGCGTAGCCTCTGTTGCTACTTTGAAAACCCTGACCGCAAAAGATCACTGTTACATGCTCTGTAACTTCAAAAAGATAAACAAGATGAAGCTGTACTACAGCCAGTGTCCAGTATACAGTACCCTGAGAAAAAAATTGATTTATAATTACTATCAAAAGGCCATATTTAACTGTCTCTAGGGATGACGTACCAGGAAACTCGAGCACAAAAGCAGTTCAGGACGAGGGCATATCTCAACGGACACCGCATGTGCTGGGGTGCTGGAAGGTGACCAGTGCCCACCCTGCAGCTCACCCACCCTCTGTCTTGCTTTCAGGCTCCTCTCCATGCCAGTACCGGGACAGGAATATTCTTTGGCATCTGCCTGGTTACTGGAATTGTAGCTTTTATCGGATATTCTTACCTCAGGTTCAGGAAAAGAAACACAGGCTTCCAGCACTTCAAGGTAAGGGGCAGACAGGAACGCGAAGCAGGGGGGCAGCACTACCCCAGAGCCACCGCACCTCCCAGACTCACAGCCTCCAATTTCTCCTTGCATTTTATTAAGCTAGAAACATTCCCCATCGCTCCCCACTTGAACCATTCAGACTAAGACATGGAGAAAGTGGGGAAGGCTCACACACTTGTCTTGGGCAAGAGCTTACATTTGCCTACTGCTCCCCCAGACCTCTCCCTCCAGGGTGCCCGACGGGGTCCTGCTCTCACAGACACTTCCAATACCAATGGCGGGCCAAAAGCTTATTTAGCTGCCCAGCACCAGTGTAGCAGTCTTTGCCTCACCAGAAAGCTCACCCTTAGGGAAGCAGGTAATGACAGCCACTGAAAGGGCACCTGTTCTCTTCCCCCTCCTCTGTGGCATTGCTAATAATTTCGCTGCTCTGGAGGTTGAAACGTTTGATGGGAAAAAGGCCAGACTCAAAAGACAAGCAAATTGAAATGATTGTCAGGATTGAAAAGTGCACATTTTTATACTGATGTGCTCTCACGCGTGCTTTCTCTTAACTAACTTTGTTAGCCTCACGCAGTATCATGATGACGCTTAACCAGTCAGCAACAGCCAAGCTACTCAGAGACAAGGGATGACAAAAGTGTTACAAAATACACAAAAATCAATCCAAAAGAAAGTCTACCTAGAAGTAACCAGAAATCCCTTCATATTCTAGACTCTGCGTAATGTGAATCATCTTCTAGAAACAAAAACAGAAGCCATGATGAGCCAGGGGAAATGCTTGTATTTTTATATAGTTGCAATGAGAGTGCTCAGGACCAACCAGGTACCTTTTATCGCAGGCACAAGGCCAGGGCAACACTTCCTCTCCCGTTCTTTGCTGAGGCTTTAGAATAATAAGGGAGAGAAAAAAGGTAGCAGTGTTAAGTGACCCGAGATAATACAACCACCTAGGACACAGTTCATGCTCGGAGACACTGATTTAGATCATAAAGCCAGTTCAGCCACAACACTGCACCAGTCCGTAATGAAGCTTAAGTGCTCCACTTAATGCACTGTTAGGAGGAGGATGGATTTTAAGCAGGTTTGTGTGATTTTATGTAGTCAAAAGATGACACTGACGTAACATCACTGGACAAGTCACAGCCTTCAAATATCACCAACCCCTCATACGAAAGTTCTTCTGCACTGAATCCACCAGAACCTACTTATGATCTTTTCTCAGTAAGTGTTCATTTTGATTTGAGATTGAGACACAACTAAAATCATGGTAAGAGGGAATAACTTTATGAAAGGAAAATGTCTAGTTGGAAAAAAAGAAAAATTAATTCGGGAAAACACATTCAAGTTCCTGGCTTTCCTGTCTCACCACTGCTAGAAATTGAGTCTGTGGTCTACAGCTGTATCTCAAGTCTACCTTCGAAGAGAGCAGAATTAAATTGGACTTCAGATGCTACTGAATGCCAGTGACATGTCTATACAAACTTAAAAAGCCTTCCAATTTTGTCTTCCCTTCTCTTTGCTGCAAACGCAGCTGAGTGCCATGCCAGCACTCTGCAAAGAATCTGAAATGCAACGGGAAGGGGGCTGGGAAACAAGGGAAGGGAAGATTGAGTAAAGCTGGAATATCTGAATAGCCTCGATGGTCCAACTTAGCAAGACCGTCATGTACATGCAGAGTCTATAATCAGAATAAACCTTTTTGCATCCAGTAATAAGACTTGTTTGGTGCAAAAGTGTCAGGTGCAAACTCTGCCATCTGTATGGACAAATTTGCCAAACAGCAACTTCAATTTCTTAACGCAATGTTCAAGTCTGATTTCCTTTTTCTTCTGTTTTATAGGATTCAGATGACCAGCAGCTTGTGATGAGCGGTCCTCATGATCAGAATTAAAGACTGAATTTGGCATTAGTCAATTATAAAACATATTTTTATTTAAACTTGCTGTGAAAAAACAGCACCTACGCATTTCAGGGAATAAAATCTCATTCCAAATTAAAACCCAAAAGAGCACAGCTTTGTTTAAGATGCAGCCTATAGAATTCACGGAGTTACCAACCCAGAAGCGGTGGCTGCCTCTGAGCAGTATCACCTAAGAGTGCCAAATGCAAAACTGAGTCTCAGCTAACCTACCCAGAAACAAACAGACACTTCTCAGTCAAAAGTATAAGACTTTCACCAGCCTGCTATTTAACCACTTTTATTCTTCTTTACAGACTTTAAAATGGCCTCAAACACACTGCTAACTTGGCAAATAACCCAACTTTGCCAGTACTCCAGCTCTACGCTTTCATTTTGGCTCAGTTACAACTACTGCTGGCAAGTGTGAAACAGAACATGTGTTAAACCTGTATTTTTAAACTGAGGGGATTTTTGCTAGTATACTTTCTTGTAAGAATTTTAGCAGCAGGAAAAACAACCATCCTGTCTACCCTGCTTGCCCACTCTAGCTTTTCTGTCTTTCCTCCAACTTTACTGTGTTTTGTTTACATCTCACCTCACTGGGAGGGAAATAGTAATTGTAGCAGCTTTAGCAAGAAATACAGGTGATATGAGAGCATTCAACTAGTAATCAACTTTTACTTGAGCTATTTTTGTGAAAAACGGACAATGAAGTTGATGTACTTGCCATCTCATGTCCACATTCAGATTTTTGGGTCTGTGAGAAGCAGAAGCTACCTGTTTGTTCACATACCGTAATTTTACCAAGCACGTTAACACTGCCTTTCAACTGACATGCAGCAATAACAGCTGCAATTTTCACCATACTATTAGAAGTGAATCAAACTTGAGTTTGATTCGGTGTCGTTTCCCTTCCCTCAAAACATTAATATCATAGCAAGTTGTGAGAACACTATAGAAACCACAAAACAGCAAGAAAAGGAAGATTTTCCTGCTGGCAGCAGTAACGTTCCCATATGATATGCTCCCTGGTGTCTACCACGTGTGGGGGGCAGGAGGGAAGGTGTCACTGCAGGAAAGCACGAGTTACCTCCGAGAGCAACCCCAGGATGCCTCCTATCAGAACAAGGCATGCAGGCAAATCCAGGGTTGTTGACGCAGCCATCAAGCACAACCAAGGGAATCTGATGTGTAAATATGCCTGGATGAAAGAGGCAGACTGAAGTAATTTCCCTAACTCCTTCCCTTGCCCCTCTACACACCTGCTTGTTTTTACCTATAAGACATTAAAAAATTTAGAACACAAACACATTTCAGCACACATATTTAGGGGAGTTTTCCCCACAGAGTTTTGCAATTAATACAACTCATGTTTTCTTGTCCCCAGTCACCCAAAATACTAAGGCTCGTAGGGACCAGAAGATGAAGTCCAAGCATTTATTTTTGTAATAATCATTAAATATTTTTATCACAAAAAAAGTTTCCACAGTTCATTAAACTCTTCTTTTACTGACAGACTATTCTCTTCAGAGTTTTTGACAGAACAGAAAGAAAATTTCTTCTTACTTTGGTGTTCAAATAAACTATACTCCCAAAATGAATGTAAAGAGACACTGCCCTTTAAACATGCCCAAAAATCTCTTTGAAGTCAGTAACATAACAAGGTTAAAATAAGTAATGCAGAGAGCACCGAGGTGTACAGCTCAAGTTCTCTGAAATCATTACAAAAATGCAAGACATTTTTAAAAGTTAAAGAGGAGCATTCTAGCACTGAAAAATTAACAATACACTTTAAACTTCTCACTTAATTTCATATTATATATAGTTGGGTTGTTTTAAAGGAACATAACCCTTCCATAATGATTTTTTTTTTCATGCAATGTTGTTTATTTCAAGAAGTCATGCAATATAAACAAGATTTTACTTCAGCTGGCTTTTGTAACATAGCTTTGTACAGAAGTTTGATTTGTAAGTTAAGAGAAAAAAAAGAGGAGAGGAGGAAATCATCTTGAAACAAAATGTGTATTATGTGGATAACATCATCCAACCCAATTAAATTGTTGCTGCTTAACACAGGAAAATTAGGCAAACTGACTCCTAGCCAGCTTTAAAAGAAGAAACATCACAGAGCCATAACCAACAAAACATTATCAAATTCAGTAATGCAGAACTGAATAACACAATACTATTACTTGCTTGGTAGTAAGATGAAGAATGTAAGTGGTTTGGGTTTTTGTTTTGGTTTTTGTGTTTTTTTTTTTTTTTTTTTAAACAGTACATTGAAATCTCTGGAGCATGAGAGGTGCTACACACATGTAACACCAAGTTCGGTTCTAGCTGAGCATTAGGATAAAGAACTGAAGGCAAATCAGGGATGTTTCCACCCCCACATTTCATTATCAAGTTATGCTAAATAGTTCTCGCACAGCCCCACCAACAAGTCTCCTGATAAAGCCAAACTAACTTCCTGCAAAACTTTTATCTTTCTCTTCAGCAAAACAGCAGGACTGTCAGATGGACTTACCCATTTCAAGTATAGTCATCTGTTTAAATACACACACATACATTAGGAGTGTTGCATGTCAAGTTTGAAACAGGAGCACAAGAAAACTACAAACAAAAATCTCTAACTGCTTCTGAGGACTTCAGACTGATTTCAAGCATACAGGAAAACTGTTCATGAAATTGTGCAGGCTAGATTAGAATACATTCTTTACTTTGCAAACATGCTTTTAAAAATATGAAAGATACTGCTATGCAATTCAATATAGGTACTTGCACATAATACAGACAGGTTGAAAAAAACAAACAAGAAAACTTTTGGTCACCAAAAGTTTGTTTACCTGACAATCATGGTAGAAAGCAAGTGATATCCCAAAATGAAGTGAAGAATACCAAATGCTATATATTCTGTTAATTATATGCTTTTAAAAACAGAGCCTTTAAAAACTAAAATTTGAAAAATATTAATCATATTATGCCTTCTAAAATGGCTGGGGTGGAAAACACCAGTTAAAAAAAAAATGTTTCCTTTGGATGCAGAGAAAGGAAAGCATCCTTATTTAAAAACAACTATATAGCAGTTCTATAAAGTGCCTGTTTGAGGAAACACATCAACAGATGTTTTCCTTGTGCAAAATAGACATTTTTCAGCTCAAATCTTTGGAACGTATATGCTACCCAGAGTTTGTGTTCATACATTACCTGTTATTTCAGTAATTCAATAAAACTTCTAATCTGCACCGCCAAAATTATTTTGATTGATGCAAACTGTCCACCACCCCCAATTCAGCTTTGAGGGCTTGAGCTAAAAAAATGTCATCAGAAAACTCTGGTTTTCATTTTCTCATTTCTTAATTTTTCTTTCAACTCATTTCCCCATTGTGCGTGTTTACTTTTGTCTGTAAAAGTCCATTACTGAAGGCTATATGAAATACATTCTCTCCTAGGGAACAGCAAAACCACATTGTATACCACCGTAAGACACTTTAAAATTTTAAAAAGCAGCATTTAGGATCAATCTAAAGCCTGACAGAGATCTGTCTCCACTCTGAAATGCAAAATGCAAGACCTCTTGAAATGGCTTTATTATCAGAGAGTGGATATTTAAAGTGTTTTGAAACTTAAAAAGAAAGGTGCCTAGAAGTTAACAAAAAGGAAGCTGAAGCAGCCCGAGTTATGCCACTTCAGTTTTAGGCTCAGGTCCACCTACAGCCAAGCACAGACATTACAGGAACAGAAACTACACAGACAGGAGAAAAAGCCTCCATCAGCCTGAGCCCGCCTGTGCTGTAATCACTGCAATGCAGCAGAGCCACACCAACACTACGCAGCAGTTAGTTCAGTTACAGGTAAGGCTCTAGCTATGGCAGCAAGGAAAATGAAAACGCATATACCATCCCTCTCACTCTCACCGTAAACTGGCTACTAACTGTGTATCACTGAATTACTAATACTGAATTTAAGCTTTTCAGTGCCAAGATCCATTACAGGCTCCAGATGGAGTTCTGATCAGGGCCAGAACAGAGAGTATAGGTATTTCTTTGTAAACCACAAGGCTGCAGATCAAAATTTCCAATGAACAAACAAACAAAACCAATGATCCCAGAACACCACCAGTCCTTCCCCTCAAACTCACCCTCCCTCCCAGCCCACTACTATTTTGGCAGTCCATCATCTCTTCTGTGTGTAAGAGGAGTTTTCACATCTCCAAGCAGGAGTGGAGAAAATGGGTACAATGCTTATGAGAACAAGTATGAATTACATCTAAATCAAGATAACAGATTTTAAGTGACATAAATAAAATACACATACATTCAAAAAAAAAAAAAGATATATTTGCTCATTTTAGAGAGAACAAGCCAAGTGCTTATTTGATCTGAACTGTCTCTTGTAGGAAAGGTATTCTGAATGTACCAGTGCACAGCTGGCCTGACCAGCCAGGAAGTTCATGCTGCAAAGGAGTCCTTCTTGGGTAAAATGTGTAATCAGGCTCATAGTTCAGGAGACAACTCAATGATGCCATGTAGATATCTGCAAATCTAGAGAGACGTCTTAGGAAATAAGTTGGATTCTCATCAGTTCTGAATAAGCTTCCAAACCGTGCGTTGAAGAAATTCCTGTTCATCTCCCTATCCCCCCCAAAAAAAAAAGAAAACAAAGAGAATGAAGTGAACATACTTGCACACATCTCTTTACCAACTAGCATCCAGAACCTGAAGCAAGCAGTTCCTGTAATCTGTTCTATGCATTATTCTCTTGCCATTGCACTTCAAACCACTTGAATGCACCGCATAAGAAATTTTTGCCTCTTGCACATATGTAGCCTAGATCTAGCAATCGCAGTAGTGAAGAGCTTCACACTTCTTCCATAAGACCAGTGATAAGTTGCTTCTGACTTCAGGAACATGACATCTCAAGCTTTTCTTTCTAGAGATTGTGAAAGAAGACTTTTGCCTTCATCTAAATCCTAATGACATCCACTTGTCCCAAAGATACAAGACACTTTAAAAAAATGCAAAAGATTTGGCTTAATGTACACAAAAAGCTTAAAACACATCTTGGAATTAACTTCTGTTATTAGTCACTGCCAAGTATCATTCCCATTTCATTTACTTCCACGTTTCTGGGGAAGGCTGCTGGTGGTACAGCTGCTGGCCCTGCCAACTGTGCACTTCACACACCCTGCATTTAGGGATGCTCCTTCATGACAGTAAATTTTTATGAGTTTTAGCCCTATTACCTATCTCTGTCATGAGTCCACTGCTAAATCCAGTCTAGTGCAGAGCCTGGTTTCTGCATATTCTAAGATGTATTGTATGTAGTCTCAAGAAATCATCTAAAAAAACCTGAAGAAGTGACCTAAGTCTTGATACAGAAACACATTTTTAAATCATGCAGAAGTTAAGCTGTGTAATCAATAGCAATGGTGACAGCTGAACACAGAGGGACAGAAGAACTAAGATGAGAAGGAAAAGCATTTGATCTGCATGAAAGGATAACATCATCTGTTCCAAAGAAGGGGAACAGGGAAAAGGGGTTCATATGCACAAAGGGTCAGAGAGGAGAAGAGCTGCACAGGTAGAATACTGCTTTACGCACATAATTTTAGAAGGTCTGTAACTACCAGGGAGTATAAATCAGGGATGGATAGAAATTCTGAAGAAACCTGTGGAAGATATCACATAGAACACTTGGCTACCATGAAGCGTATTGCAAATTCTTCATCTCCCTTGTCTTACCTCATTTCCTTTCTTTCCTTCTTCCATTCTTCTAAAATCATTTGTGAATCAGGATCACGGTGAACCTGGAATGTAAAGTATGGATCACAGGTAACTAAGGATGCCCTCATAAATGAGCCTTTCCATTAATAAACCCTTACCAGCTAACAGGGCAAGAGCAATCCTTCAGAGATCAGTATACAGAAGTTACCCACATGCATTTTAAACAACTGAAAGCGGGAATTAATCCAGGCTGACAAGTGGAGGAAGGGAACAAGATTTTGGTAAAACTCTTATTAATTAGCCACACAAATAATTGCATTTATTTATCTACAGTCAAACTGGTGAACTTAATGAGACAGAAAGCACTCGCAACGTCTATGTCCAGCATTTCGAAACTAGGCTGGATCCCTTCTGCTATACAGAGCCGATTACACACACATAGAACAAACCTGCATGTGTTCCAGTAATCCTGTTAAGGTTTGCAGCCAGGTCATGGTTTGAATGTACTTCTCTGTGTTCATGATTTTAATCTCTGATCGTAACTCTGGAATAATTGCACCAGTGCGCCAGCCATGCTTCAGGGTCAAATCCTATTTACCAAGAAGAATTACAAAATACAAGTATTAGTCTTAAAAAGAACTACTTAAAAGAACTGAAGAATTTGACCATTGTTTATCCCAAAGGCACACTAATTCAATTGCTTCTTATGTAGAAGCAGAAATATTAAACAGTGGGACTTAACTGTGCCAATAAGCAATAGCATTTAATTTCAGAATAAGCTTCAAATCCCACATTTTGAGAGAGAGAGAGAGAGATAAAGAACACATAAGCACTTGCAAATAAGTACTAATTCATTAGGTTTAAAACAAACAGTAGGAAATTCCTCTCGTAGATAAGACCTCTGCTGCTGTCAGAAGTATCTGGAGGAAACCGTGTGTTGGGTTTGTGGTATTTACCCATATACTCAGCTGACAGAAGGGTCCTATCAGGACCCCCAGCTATTCAAGCTCCTCCTGACAAGTACAGAACAAGGCAGCTGCCACCTGTGCTCTTCCCTCCATTGTGCCAAAGAACAACAGAGCTGCCTCCTCCTTCCTTTGGCCCTCAGCCTTCTGAAGAACCCAAACTTACTTTTCTTTTTAAAAGCAGATTGGGGCAAAAATGTTAACATCTGCTGCTGCTGAAACATGTTATCACAGCTTAGCAGTGGAAAGTCATACCCAGGCATTCATATGCAATCAATTACAAAAGAGTCAAGTGGTGGTCACTTACTCTGAAGTAACAGTTAACAGTACATTTGTTTGTAAGGTAGTAAGAAAATGCCTGGATAGTGGGGCTACAAACTATAGCAAGATCTTGGGAAGAAAGAAAATTTACCATTAGTGACAGGAAGATCGCCTCCTGCATTCAAAACAGAAGTTCATTCAGCTCTTATTACAGTTGGTAGTAAATGTGATCCAAATCAGCCACAACCTGTACTTTTGGATATCTGTGTTTATCTCTGTTACATCCGACACAATCAGTATCTGCATCAGGAATACAAACTGACACATTCCTGAGCACAGTTTGTAAACAAGTTAAATGCTACAAGTCAGGTGGAAAACATGGTTGGCCTTTTACAGCACCAATTTTCTTCACTGCAAGAAAAGCAATATGGCTTAACTACCAACTCAAATTTTGTTGTATTTAGAAATCTCAAATGAAAGTGTGTTATATTGAATAACTGGGGAAGAAGAGAGGAAAACTAACAAAAAGCCTCATCTTTTATCCTATTTTGTGAAAGTAAACTACTTACTGCCAAGTCACTGTAAATGTGATCACCAAAGTAGAGAACCTTAGAGCCCCTCCAGCCAGTAAGCTTCAGAAATTCGTACAAGTTACCCTGCAGAAAGAATGACAGTTACATTGTAGTGGCACACAACTTGCGCCTTCACAGGCATGAAGAAGGAATTTAGTACACCCCTAGAAATATTTTCATATCAAGAATCTTGTCCTCAGTTTTATGAATCCCAAATTTTACAGGCAATTTCAGTAATACCGTCACTTCAAGAGACAAGTAAACTGCAGACATACAATACCAACAATGAATTTGTACCACTTCAATCATTAAAACAACTCTCTCTAAAAACATATCTACTTTTTAGAAGCCTTTACAATGTCTAAAGAAGCTTGGGATTCTACGAAATAGGTATTACATTTGAACTGAAAGAGTTTATTGAAAGCGTACCTGTTTGTAAATCTGACCTTTCTGCAGCTTGTGAATTTTGTCCCAAAGCAACACTCCCCTTTCATTCACCTTCCGAAATGGTCTAGAATAGAATTATACACATCTGTTACATTGCTGTAGAAATTCTGTCACTTTTTAGGAGGAGATTAAAATTTTAATATTAAAAATATTCTTCTTTCAAAAGGAAAACATGCTCTCTAGCATCTGAACATTTTGTAATAGGCAGAAAAAGCAAAGCTCCAAAACTTCAGCTTTAACCAGTGAAATGCAATGTATCTATCCAGTATACCTATGACGTTTATAACGGAGTTTGAGAACAACTGTTGAGAACTAAGGCAGGGATCCCAGACAGAAGGGAAGAAACAGTGTGCATTGTCTGCCATTAAGAAGGAGAGAAGAGAACACAAAAGTGAAGATGTGTAAAAACCTTGCCCAATACCTCATTTTGCACAACTGAACAACTGCAGAAGAAGGGGGCAAGACGTACACTGAAGTTCTTTTTAAAATTAAATGAAAAAAAGTAAAGGGAAAAAAAAAATCCCACCTCCCTCTATCTCACTTTCAAATCGTTAGTACACATAAAGGATTAGGTCTTTTTCAAGTGTAAGATTAGTGAGTACGCATTACAAATGTGTTTACTTAATTGAACAACTAGTCCAAATACTCCAGTCTGTCAGCCAGCCTTAAATATCATGTTTGACTAAACAAAACCAGAACAATGAAAGACATTTCCAGATAAGGGGCTGATTTTGAAAGGCACTAAAATTTCTCAGGTTTATTAGAAAAGGAACACACTTCAACAACTTACAAGCTAAGATGTTAAAAACAGTTTCTGTCACCCTAACTCAGTCCAGTAGACCTGCAATAGCTCCTGGAATTTACTTAGGTAAAAAATGGTAAATATTTGGACTTCAGAATTGGGTGTGCTGCATTCTCTAATGACCTTAAACAGGATTTCATCAAATATGATTTCATTTTACATTGCATCCAAATGAAAATATTTCATAACACGCTCTATAGCCTTACATGGAATAAACTGCTTGAATCATTCTTTACTGACTAAATACCCACCTTCGCTTATCATTGAAAAAATTTGGCTTATCAGCCTGTACAATGACCACATCAAAGAGATCCCTCCAGTCCTTGCCAACTATGAACTTCATGCCTTTGTCCCTAAAAAGGACAGAGGGATATTAACAGTGAAGCGTAACAGAAGTGCCATTATCTGTGCAACATAATGAATTACGTTCGACACCCTGATCCTGCCCATCCTTTAAAAATGTACAGTTGAACAGCAAACAACTGTTCCCTTACACGAAGCTGCTGGGACTGTTTGTGATGAGAAACATCTTCTTGCCATGATCAGCCAGCTTTGCTAACACTGCACGAGTTTGTTCGGCATAGCAGATGTACTTCTCTGTAAAAATTGGGGAAAATACAATATTAATTGAAAAAGTTTTTCACAAGAATTTTCTCTGCATTCAACCCAAAGGTTCAGAACATGAGGTTATACTTAACAAAGGCACCTCAGACAAGTGGAAATAACTCTTTCAAGCTTTAAAATTTAGAATTTGTAATCTTAAATAAGGAAGCCAGAAAGATCAGTATACTATCAGTGAAAAAAAGCTTTGATAGATGATCTCATTAGTACTTACCAATATCTGCTTCAATTGCTCTGTACATTATTCCTTTGATGTGGACATCCCTGATTGAATCCTGTCAGGAAAGCAACAGAGCACTAAAGAACTGAAAAATCTTTTCAAGTATAAAAACCGTGCTCACTGCATAGCAGTAGTAATTTGTTTTTAAAACAATTCCTTTCTCTGAATTACACTTTCAACTTCACAGAAATGCCATGCGATGTTCATTACATATATATATGTACACACACACAAACACATATGTGTCACCACTAGACAAAGAGTAAGTCTGTCCTCCAAGAAACTAACCTCATACTTTTGGGAAGTACAAAACTGAATAGCACAGGGGCTGTTTTACATAACAACTGTGAAAGGGCGCTCAGAAGGGTGAAGTGGGGTGAAAGCCCTCTGCAGAAGCAGAGTCATCACAGATTTCCAATGACCTCTGGAGCAAAACACATTCCTTTCCTCTTGTAAAAAAAAAAAAAAAAAAAAAAAAAAAACACCCCAAAAGCTTTAAATCAGCCAGATTTTAGATTATGATCACTCACAAATGCCCTGGTTATTTAAAAAATAAATTTATGAACACATGAAAGAAGCCAAATGCTTAAGCAAAGTATTCATAAGGCGCTCTGAAAGCATTTGGCAGCTCTCCTGAGCCAGCTCTGCACCAGACCACTTTGTTTAGGACAGTGGTACTGCCATTTTGGAACTTACATGGAGTATGTCCCAAAAATCCTCAAAAAAATGCCACTATAGGGCTTCCAAACTGTAGAAATGCTCAGCATTACCAATAAACACTTCAGCAGAAACCACAAGAACTAGCCTTCTGACTCTATGTAACCATAGGCAGAAGGGAAAATTACTCTGGAGGACAAAAGTTTCTTAAAACTCAGCTGATCTACTTCGGAAAGTGAGAAATTCAGGTGCATCACGTATGCTGAACAACTACACAAGTTTAATACATGTCAACAAGGGGCCAGGAAAGGGTTTTGAATGGAAAGCTTGTTCAGATAAATACCATTAACTTGGGCATGACCTCTTCTGTTCTTAAATAACCATGACATAAAATTATGTCCTCTGCAGGATACATCCTGAGGAATCAAGAGGGTCAAATTACTCTAGTCATTACTACTAGATTTTTTTGGAGGAGGAAGAAAGGAAAACAGGCAAAATAGATATGCCAAAAGCAAGAGATAGCAAATGATTGTATACTAGTGTATGGAGGCAGTAAAACTGAAAGCTCCAAACTGGAATCCCCTACAGCCTCTTACAATTCCTGCTAGCGATAAAAGTATATCTTTAATAACAATCAAGAGAAGCTTTATCAACGTACAAGAGCTTCTTCACTTTCCCCCCATCCACCCGTCAAACCTACAAAAAGAGCAACAGCCCTAGAATGTCAGATCTAAAACAAATTTCAAATTATTCTGTTTCTTTTCCGAGGTCTACCTTCATTTTACTTATGTTTTTATGGTTGTATAGCAATAATTACACTATACAAAACCTCAAGTTGCAGTATTTCACTGGAGCCGATGCAACAGGTTGAAGCTTCCTGAAGCGCTCACAGAGAAGAAGCACAAATGTAGAGCTTTACCTAAATCTTCAAAGCTAGTACCTTTACTTAAATCTTCAAAGCTAGTACCTTGACATCTTTGTACAGATGAACAGGCTCATAGTCTATGTTGTTTTTCAGAAAATATTCATTCACGCAAGAAAGGAGTGTCATTTCTGGCAAGGAAAATATATCCATGAATTGCTTCATTGTATTTCCTTGTGAGCTCTACAGGGGTGGAAAGAAAAAAGAAGAAAAAAAGGTCAGGCATTTCTCAGATTAGAACACTTTCATTCATTCAGTATAAACACTTCAGCTTAGTTGCAGATATTCAGCTTTTGCCATCGCTGTTCACGTTGCTTTAGATTCTTTTTGAACTAACAGACTTTCAATAAAGTAACTCCAACAAAAGCATTGGCTTTATTTTAAGAATTAATCATGACTCATTACTCTTAAGAGCAGTATTTTAATTCATAAACACATAAAAGACAGCACTCTGCTAAATGTAAAGAGAAGGACTTAGAGGCCTTCACTGGAAGTCTGCACTTCTATAAATAAGAGGCACTAGGTATTGTGATGGGGGGGTGGAAGTTTTGTTATTTGTTGGGGTTTTTTTGTTTTGTTTTTAAATAAGTGGAGTATTGATTAGGACAGTAAAACAATTTACCTCCTTGAAAAGAGATAACAAAAAGTTTTAAGAATCTACAATAACTAATGCAGTAACAGAGGAAAAGATTTCTAGTCTGCAAAAGCTGTAACTATAGTTAAGTTTCACAAAAGTAGAGAATCCCGTTATACAAGAGCAAATACAAACAAAATACTTCTCAAGAAGAAGAGAGGTAAAGCAACCAGCTCAAGACACCACACTGGTCAAGATCACAGAAATACAGAATGGTTGAGGTTGCAAGGGACCTCTGGAAGTCATCTTGTCCAACCCCCTTGCTCAAGCGTGGCCACCTAGAGCCAGTTGCCCAGGACCTCGTCCACAACCTTCTTGGGCAACCAACCCATGCCAGTGCTCGGTCACCCCCACAGTAAACGAAGTGTTTCCTGATGTTCAGAGGAAACCTCCTCTGTTTCAGATTGTGCCCACGGCCTCTTGTCCTGTCACTGTCCTTTCCAAGACCAAAGAAAGCATAGACCTGCAGAGACAAAGATATCCCACAGGGAATGCCAGGGTGATATTCAGAACTGCTGCAGAGGCCAGATTTGGGAATTCTAAGTTCAGCTCCTTAAAATAAGAACAAGTGCGAGAACAACAAAACGCTCCACAGCACAAAGAAGGGCCTTTCATGTCAACATGGAATTAACATCCATAAGTGAAAGGGGTTTGGGAAAGAGGAAGGAACCTACCAGCAAGAAGATCAACTTTCCCCACAAAGTCAAATCCTAAACTTCAAAGCTTTATCTTTTATCATTCATCTTTTGTCAAATCCTCTCACTGTCACTCTGCCAGCTTGCATGCAAGAGATGCCTCCGTACATTTACTTGCCCTATATCAGCTAAGCCGTTAGACCACCGGGAAGAAGTACATAGCCGGGGTAAGGCACCAGATATGGTTCATTTCCCAGCCTTTATCAGATTTGCTGTGCAACACTGAGCAAGTCACTTGATTCTTCTATGTTCCGCTTCTCTGTCTGTATAACTGGGCAAGGGAACAGTGAAAGAAGGAACTACAGCGAGTGGGAGAAAGAAAAGGTATTTGTCACTTTAGAGGGCAAACCTCACATCTAGCACTATAAGTCAATCATGTACTGAGAAAATATAACCGCTAGTAAGAACAAGAACAAAATGCAAACACCACTACCCCCACCCAAAAAAAAAAAAAGAAAAAAAAAATTTTTTAAAGAGCAGTTTGTGGTTTTACCTTTCCATAAAAGTCACTCATTTGTTCTAAAGGGACATGGGAGCCATCATACATTGCAATGACTTCTTCATCTGGGACAACACTGAGGCCTCTGGAAAACAACATTAGCTGTAGTTCAAAAGGCAGGTTAAAATTTTCAAGTAATTACCGAATGAAAGTCTGACAGATTAACACTTAGATCTGGAGCTTATTACAATACTAAAAATGTCATACACTTTAGTCTAAGTTAAAACAGCATCTTTCCTTACAGAACAAGTAACATTTTAACAGGCTGACGCACACGGAACACATTCCGATTTTAAGGCCTTTTTACTTTCTTAGACCTAATTAGTCTCCATTGAAACTACGCCTCAAGGGTTTGTAAGAAGTAGATAGAGCTTCCAGTTCCTTAACACAAAGCAATTCCTCACTCTGCCTTTGTTTCATATAGCACTGATGATGTGATAGTGTTTGAACCAGATTATGCTGCAGCATGACCTTGAAGATTCAAAGGAAGGACAGACATATACAACATTTAACTAAGTAAGAATTTCTTTTAAACTGTATCAACAGTTCAGTTTCCCAAAATTTAAGATTGCTTGAAGGATTGTTGACAAGTAATTAAAATATAAAAATATAACAACAAATGGGGAAGAAGGAGACATCATCTCTCCCCAGAGTTTCTTTATCAACTGTTAAGAGATTAAAGGCTTTGTTTTGGTTTGGTTTTGAATGTTTACAGTATCAAGCATCTTGCACTAAAGCATCTAAAACACTGCAGGCATGCGAACATCCTCACCAGAGGACACAGAAGTGTTGAGGTTTTGCTTAAGATTAAAGAACCCAAATGAAAACCAGATCATCTGGTGCCGTTTTTCCAAAGCCTACTTACAGTGTTTTGCAGCCTTGTAAAACAGTTGTTTCAGTGCCTCCCTTTCTTGGTCTTACCCCAAAGTGTTGTGAGGCATTAAAAAAATAAATTAATTCACTAATAAGCCTAGTAGTTTCAGTGTTTAGTGTCCACACCAGCTTCGCAGTGGAAGGGTATGATACTGAACTTCCTCAGGGCTGCTATGGTAGCAGGATCCCACATTAACTAGTTGCTTTACTGCACTTCTCAGTTCTTCGTGGACTTGCACATAGCTCTGTGCTACTGCCAGTAGGACGCCAGCATTCAAGTTAGTATTGTGCACCAACAGGGCAGATAATTTACTTTTGTAACATACAGAGTTCAGTGTCACCCACTCCACAGCAGGAAACACAAAGAAATGCAACCAAAATGTTAAACACATACAAAGCAATACAATCAGAATTAAGAAGGACTGACTCATCTTCACTTGGCTGCAGACAGCTATGCCAAGTGGTATCTGAATACTGCTAAAAAAAACACTTGTAGATCAGGAGCTACTTAAGCACAAATCAAGAGAGGACAATAGACATACATGAAATCCAGAGAGGAGAGACAACTGTGTAGGCAAAGCTGTAGATTAGTTTTACCAAAAGACCCACAGTCTTGACACAGTTCACAGTCCTTTGTATAACTGCAAAGTTTTTTTTATTCCACTCACAGCATAGACAAACAGCACTAAAAGCATCACAGTTCACCTTCAGCAGTGCTCCCATTGCTGCTCTTGGAGATATGCATTATTAGAGGGCAACCTGAATTTGCTTACACTTCTCAGTGCAAATGAGGCTGTACACTTGGGCAAATCCTGCCACCTTCAGCAGCATAATTGTCCTACACATGTTCAGAGCACATGGAAGGTTAAAACTAAGAACTACAGATGCAACAACTGACAGCAAAGCTCAGTGTTGGTAGAGAAGAGAAAGGTAATCTTATTTTAAGCAAAATTAAGAGAAAGTATTGAGTGAAATGGTAGCTCTCACTCTCCCCCTCACACACACTCACAAGTACCAAGACGCGTGGCCTAGCAGTCTGTCCAGAATTACTTTGGGTGATGCAGAGAACAAGGAACGCCAGCCCTTCAACACCTCTCTAGAGTTTTCTTGATCAGTCATCGCATGCTGGCTTCAGATGTGCCTTTTGTACTAGAGGTTGACAGCAACTGTGATCTTCTGCCTCTTCATTCTGTCCCACTCTGAGTCATAAGAGTAGCTGATGGACTCCCCACCCATTCATCTTCTCGTCTAGGTCACTATACAGTTCCAGTCATACCATTGTTCTTCCTGACATCTTCTCTCAAAGCCTTCAGCCTCTTTTTTGGCCCCCCCACCCCATACGGGTGTTTGGAGAAACAGCATGCAGATATGATGGTATCTTGATGACCGACAGATCCAGGTACCACCAACACATGCCATCCTGTTGTCCCCTCAATCAACATTTCTTCTAGTGTTCTCACGCATACATGTTTCCAGTCATACACATTCATACCAATCTAATATTTCTATTACATACCTCTACAGATAAACGTATCTTTGATTACTTCACCTAGCCTTTAATCTAGCAAACTAGCCTTTTTCACAGTGAAAAAGTGTAAAAATGTGACAGCCTTTTTAAATGAATCTTACAACTAGTGACCTTCACTTCGAGTTCTCTGGTTCCCTCCTAGCCCTACATAAATGATTCCTTCGAAAACCACAGGAACAGGTTTTGTCAGTTGAAATATACAATAATTATTGTATATCAGCATGTATAAAACACACAAATAAATGGTATGACATTTCACTTTGACTCTGATGATACATACAGAACACACATTGTTTTGGCAGCTTTAGACAACCACTATGTTGACAGTATGAGCCTAATGCTGGACCCACACCATCTTGTCTCCTCTTTCACTTCCCTTCCCTTCCTCTCCCCGCTCCCAAAGGGCATCTCAGACTAAGTCATGAAAGAACAGATCAATGGCTAAGGCTGAATCATCTACCTGTCCGCGCACCTGGCAAACAAAAAGCAGTAATGAGTGCATTATCATCATTTCATACTACCATACACAGTTCCATGCTAACCCCCATAGTAAATCACCTCAAGGTTGCATTATCTTTCGGCTCCAAAAGAAAATTTTTTGTCCAATGACATTAAGAAAGGTGCTCAGGCTTGTTGTTTAATTTAAAATATGGTACCAAGTGTGGTGTTCATGTCAGTCAAATGCGTACTGCTTCAGTACAGCAAATACTAAAAGGCCATACTATAAAAACTCTCCTGTCAAAGATCACATACAGTAAGTCTATACCATGTAACAAAGCACAGAAATCACCGATTTTACATCAATTTAGTCAACTGAAAAAGCATTAGGCTGTGCGGACATAAAGCAGTTGTGCTCCAACCACATACTTGCAGAATGATATGTCCAAACGTAAAAGGTCTGTACAAATACAGTAAGACCTCTCAAGTGTCTCTGCAACCACACTAAAGTGATGCTAACAGGCACTCTGTGACAATTATTTACATAAAAAGCAACAGTGGAAAAGTCATCAGAGTATTTTTAGATGTCTTTCAGCACAATTTAACAGCCGGAAACAAAGTGAGTCAGCACTATGTGACCAACCAGCTTGCCAGCTTCCCCAGCTCTGAACTGGGGAATCAGCTGTACTGTACCAGTCAGTAAACGTGTGCGCATGTCTGTATGTACCCACAGAGGTGCAAAGAAACCCTCTTCCAGTAAGACTGCAATATTCATTCAGGTCTGTGCTTGTCAGTGCACTGTTCCTGATATGAACCTAAGATGTACACTAATAAATGCAATTAAGAGATTCAAAAAACAAGACTATACATTTTTATTATCAATAGCAAATAATTTTACCTACCTGTAAACTGTTCCCAGCTGAATATAATGAAAAGCATCAATCTTCATTAATAATGCCTTGCAGGGGGAAAAGAAAAAAAAAAAAAAAAAAAAATCAGTTTTTATCACACCAACTATTTGACATGAAATTATAAAAATCAAAGCAACTTTATCTATAATCTGTCTGTCTCGAGAATGCCTGAGCACCTTCCCTTCAACTTCCTTCATAGCTTCCAAAATACTTTATCAATGGCTTTTACCTAGGGCTTGCCAAATCACCAAGGGAACATTGTTCAGTGACCTGAGCTAGGTCACGAAGGAATATCTTTTCCTACTAGCAGATGCCTGCTTAGGTTTATTCTGTTGCATTTTAAGTTGTCTTTCTCCCTCCCCCTGCCCACCATGAGAAGAAAACACCCAAAACACTTTATACTTAAGAGCTATTTAAAAAAAAAAAGGGGGGGGGGGGAGTGGAAATCAAGCTTGTCACGAGAGAGAAAAAAACAGCACGAAACAAAATCCTTACACATTAATGCAGAGTGAAAAGCTGGTAGACTTAAAAGCCCTCTTTATTTTCTTTGGCTAGGTTCTCAGCACTACATCACTCATCACAAAGTTATTTATACATACCCGGTGCACATCATAATGAAGTCCTCTGATTGCAAAATTGGGATCATAATCGTATTTTCTTATTTCTGCAGGATACTAAGAAAAGATAGCAATGATTTGATTTTAAATCCATAACAAAAACAAATAAAAAAATTGTTCCTACAGAATTTTAAAAGCCTAAGTTTTCTATGCTTCTCATTTTCACTAGTCATTAAAAAGACTTTTTAGAATCATAGAATCATAGAAT